ACCCCTACTACCGCACGGTCGAGGGCTTCGCCGTGCTCGTGGAGAAGGAGTGGTGCGCCTTCGGCCACAAGTTCGCGGAGCGTCTGGGGGTCGCGCGGCGCGAGGCGCTCAAGCCGAACGAGCGGTCCCCGGTCTTCGTCCAGTGGCTCGAGTGCGTCGCCTGGGTGCTCAGGCAGTTCCCGCGGGCCTTCGAGTTCAGCGAGGCGCTCCTCGTCTTCGTCGCCGACGGCGCGGCGAGCGGCCTCTTCGGCACGTTCCTCGGCGACACGGAGCGCGACCGCAAGTGGGTCATGCGGTGCCCGAAGCGGACGGTGAGCCTCTGGACCTACGTCCTCAACGCGCCGGCGAAGCCCCACTACCTCAACGCGACGTACCAGGCCTTCCACGGGCCCCTCTGGCCCAGCGCGTCCCAAAAGCGCGCGGCCGTGTGGCACGAGTACTACAGCCGCTTCGACGCGGGCATGCACCCGGCGACGCCCATGCTCTGCGACGCGCACTGGTTCGCCGACGCGGGCGACTTCGCCGTGGCGTCGGCGTTGATCGACGACGAGGGCGACGACGTCGACCTCGACGACCAGGAGCCCCGCGAGGCCAAGGCGAACTCGACGGCGACGGTCACCCGGGACTCGTCGTTCTCCCTCGGCGTCACCGAGGAGAAGGAGTACTACCTCTAGGCGGAGAGGCCCCCCATAAACATACGACTTCGAAGGTGAGAGTGCCGCCCCGCGTCCCGCGTGTGTCCGCCCCCCTCGGTTTCGCGCTCTGCATCGCCCAGCTGCGCGTCCTCTTCGACCTCGACGACGCCATGGACGGGCGACCCGTCGCGAGCCTCGAGAGCGCGGCGAGCACCGAACGTTCGCGTCGCGGCTCCGACGCGCCCTTCCGACGAGTCGCGGGTCCTCGCGCGGGCGGCGCGAAGCTCGGAGGCGGTGCGAGACCGGCCACTGGTGCAGAGGCTTACGAGCGGAACGCGCGGGGGAGGGAGCTCGACCAAGGAGGCGCGCGTCGGCGCCCGGCGGCTCCTCCGACGAGGAGCCGCGGCGGCGGCGACGACGCGCGCGATGGGAGCTGCTCGACCGAGGCGTCAGCGCCCGGCGGCTCCTCCGACGAGGAGCCGCGGCGGCGGCGA